AACTCGTTCATACGCATTCTACTAATTCCATCTTCAATTGCACGAACAACATCTAAATATGTCTTCTTGTGTTTCAATGCAATAGCTAGTGAAGCATTCATAGACTCGTACCTTTGTGTTGAGCGAATATTGGCAAAGAAATGACCGGTTAGATATGCTTGTGCCCATAAGTGTCGTGTATTTCCCTTCTCAATCACCCATGGATGCTTTTGGACGTTGAATTATGAAACAATCGAACGCCATTGAATATCAAATTCCTTGGTTGTCCACCAGGAAGCCATGCATTTTGAGAATGCTGCTGTAAACTTTGGGTCACCAATGTTAGCTTGTGCATTGCGAGAAAGATGCCAAGAACATAATCTGTGCTTAGCATAAGGGATAACAGATTTGATAGCCCTCTGCATTGCCCTATCCCCATCGGTTACAACGGAAATAGGTGATTTATTCATCATGGCTTCTAAAAAATTCTGTAGCACCCACTCGAAAGATTGAGACGTCTCGTCAGCGATTATGGCAGTGGCAAACACAATTGTGTTATGGTGATGATTGACACCAACAATAGGCATAATTGGTCGACCATACAAATTATCTTTGTACGTTGTGTCGAACGCAATTACATCACCGAAACATGTGTAATCCGATCTCGATGTAGAATCCGACCAAATAAGATTATACAATGCCCCCGATTCGTCTACCGAGTATGTCATAAAAAACCCGGGATCATCATGTTTCTTATAATCAAAGTAGGCAATAAGCGCATTCACATCCCCATCGACGATTTCCTTTGCTTTACCTCTTTGAAGTGCATTGTAGAGGTCTTTATGTGTAAATCCAACATTATGATAGCCCCCTGCCTGCTGCGTTAAATAGTTCATTACTTGTGACGTGCCAACACCGACCTCTTTCAATGTTGTTGCCTCATCGATATCAGCCTTACTTACAGCTCTATTAGAACGCATAAATGGTGTCATAGCAGATGTGCACAATGCATGATTATGTTTCTGATCAGACTTACTTATAACCCACTGATCGTTTGTATTTGTTGCTGTAACTACGACTCTAGCCTTACATCCTGTTCTTGTGACTGGCGTATGAGCACGTTGACGATCAACAATATTGACTTTTGATACTCGAAACCCTTCTTTGGAACAACAAAATTCTTGTGTCTTCAAATTCCCTTCCACGTCAAGCCGTGTTGTTCCCTTACGTGCACTAAACCCATGTTCCCGTGTGAATCCCTTGTAAAAGTGCCAAGCTTGATCACGTGAACAGAAGAGCTGACCAACCAATCTGTCAGATTCATCAACATTATGTACTTCATGGCATTCCTCGGTTGGCTTAACATTGTCTACATCAGTATTATCCATGGCAAAAATTTTGTTGTGCAAGTTCAGTGCTCCAGGAGTTGATGGAGATGTAAGCAAAGGTTCATTTTGAACATGTTTCAGTCGTGCTGCTTTCAATAGGATGTGGCATTGGTAGTGGTAGTTAAAGGGTGGGTACACCATTAAATTCGCAGTACATATTTAGGTATGTACAATAACTACAAGTATATTATCATTAAATTTAGGTATGTACAATAACTACATATTTAGGTATGTTTGTTAACTACATATTTAGGTATATACATCTTTTGAGTGAGTTTTAAGATATTAATTTAGTAATTATAGGCGTCTAATGATTTATTTTTTATGTTACGGTATATATTATTATTAAATTAAAAACAATAAACATATATATTATATATTTATTATTATCTTTGGTTAATGTTGTTAAATTTAAATTATAAATATTATTTTATAAAATATCAAAACAATCAAATAATTTTTTGTGTAAATGAAATTATTAAATTAATATTGTAGGTGGAAAACATGAAACACTGTTAAAAAAATTGAAACATAAATTACATAACTTTTAAAAAAAGTATCGATCCTTTTTATAAAAAGTATGGACACTTTCAATATAATAGGTAAACATATGATGTAATAGGTAGCGCTTATATAATGTAATAGGTATCGTTTATATAATGTAATAGGTAGTGGTTATATTGTAAAGTATCTATCCTTTTTTATAAAAGTGTCCATACTTTTTTCACTGTGGAAAACATTAATTTAAGGTTATCTTTTGAGTGAGTTTTAAGATATTAATTTAGTAATTATAGGTGTCTAATGATTTATTTTTTACGTTACGATATATATTATTAAATTACAAATTCTAAATATTATTTTATAAAATATCAAAACAATCAAATAATTTTTTGTGCAAATAAAATTATTAAATCAAATTACTTTATTCCAACCATGTGACAAGTGTGACAAGTGTGACAACTCAATCAACTCACAACTCAGCTTTGAACTCAATCAATATTGTCTTTTAGCTTGATGGTTCATAAAGCATGTTACTTGAACAGTATGAATCAATTATGCAATTTTCATGTTCAATTTAACACTGCATTTCAAATTCATTTCATATGTAATTGGAGTTTGAATTTAAATTTCAATTTGAGTTTGAATTTCAATATATATTTCGGCTCCACTATAAATATTAGCCCAAGCCAATATGCATGTTATCATTGATTATTCCTAATTTCCATTGTTTTTTTTCCAAACGTTTAAACGCGAGGGAAATCCCGACCATTGTATTTTTTGGTCAACTTTAAAGCGTCAGAAACGTTTCGGACGTATGATCTGGGTGGTAAACAAATAGCAACTAAAATCATAAGTCCGAAATGCTTCTGAGTACCACCCAAATCATAAGTCTGAAATACTTCCGATGCTCATCAAAATCCAAAGCTCATATGGTGCCAAGCAAAAGGAAATCAAAATTCAAATCTCATATGATGCCAAGCAAAAGGAAATCAAAATCTACAACTTGAGTTTGAACATTGATATGATATGTTCAGTTATTATCATGTTGGAATTTTCTCGTTTTTGATTGCTTGGATAGTTGTTCTCTTGCTTCTTCAAGTGTCCTTAGCTTGTATTTTATAGCTTGGAATGTGTTTGATGTTGTATATATTATTATTAAATTAAAAACAATAAACATATATATTACATATTTATTATTATCTTTGGTTAATGTTGTTAAATTTAAATTATAAATATTATTTTATAAAATATCAAAACAATAAAATAATTTTTTGTGTAAATGAAATTATTAAATTAATATTGTAGGTGGAAAATATGAAACACTGTTAAAAAAATTGAAACATAAATTACATAACTTTTAAAAAAAGTATCGATCATTTTTATAAAAAGTATGGACACTTTCAATATAATAGGTAAACATATGATGTAATAGGTAGCGCTTATATAATGTAATAGGTATCGTTTATATAATGTAATAGGTAGTGGTTATATTGTAAAGTGTCTATCATTTTTATAAAAGTGTCCATACTTTTTTCACTGTGGAAAACATTAATTTAAGGTTATCTTTTGAGTGAGTTTTAAGATATTAATTTAGTAATTATAGGCGTCTAATGATTTATTTTTTACGTTACGATATATATTATTATTAAATTAAAAATTCTAAATAATATTTTATAAAATATCAAAAAATCAAATAATTTTTTGTGCAAATGAAATTATTAAATTAATATTGTAGGTGGAAAACATGAAACACTATTAAAAAAAATTGAAACATAAATTACATAACTTTAAAAGAAGTATCGATCCTTTTTATAAAAAGTATGGACACTTTCAATATAATATAATGTAATAGGTAAATTTGCAATACTATCGGTATAAATATACCAGATTACTTATAAAATAGGTAAATATAAGCGCTACCTATTACATTATATAAGCGCTACCTAGTATGTTATTGTACTTTATAATATTTCCGGTTAAATAATATAACATAATCGGTATAAATTTTAACCGGTCAATTGTTTAACCGGTCACACCGTATATTAACCGTTTTTTAAGCGTCGCACCGCAGCTTAGGCTTTTGTTGTGCAATTGTGATTCAATCACTCGTTCTATTCCTCAAATGATTACTCTTACTCACCACCATCTTGTTAGTATCGTAATTGTATCAGAATTCTTTCTCAATTATTTGTAATGTGATGATATGCAAATCGTTTTCCTCAACTATCTTATTCATTCATTAAACTATTCAAACAAATTTTGTAAATCAAATATTTGTTTATTTATATTATATCATTTAAGTTATTGTTTGAAACATTATATCAGTAAGTCAGTAATTGAAAGCAATTGACGGTACCAATAGATATCATTAAAATATGATTATATCATATTTCAGTCAGTAAGTTAACGTTTAGCTCAGAGGAGCGTCAACTTTTTAACGAAAAAGACGATTTTGAAATTTATAAATAGTCAAGTGAGTATTTTGTAATTTTTAATAGTTGAAAGACTCAACAAAATAATATTTTATAATCAAGGTTTCTTTTACGACTCTTAATAATTAAATGACTTCACAAAGCAACGCAAATTACCATTTACTTACTTTACCTTAAAATTAATAGTGATACTAATATACAACATTCATTCTATAGTACTTTACCTTACATATGGGAATTGGGTTTTGTTGTTGTTGTTGTTGTATAAGTTTAGTACCGGATCCATAAAACAATTTGAAGGGGCCTTAGAAAAAGGATAAATTGTAAGTTTAGTACTTATACTATTAGTTTTAATCGATTTTAACATTTAAACTTTTAATTTTTTCAAAATTAGACTTAATATTTAGTATTTGTTTCATTTTAGTACACCTGTTAAAAAAATTAACGTTAATTTTTGAAAAAAATTGAAATTTTAGGAACTAAAATAGACAAACAAAATGATAATTTAGGTACTAAATGCATTAAGTTTTTAGCACTAGGATACTAAAATGAAATAAAAACTAAATATTAGGTATGATGTTAAAAATATTAAAAGTTTAGATGCTAAAAGATATCATAATTAATAGTTTAGGTACTTAAAACGTAATTTATCCTTAAAAACGCTAACCCTAATAATAAAGTTATATATCTTGTAAAAATTTTCCTTTTTATTCCCCCGAAGGTTTTTGAGGAAAGAGGCAACCAAAGCCCTGCTGCCGCCGATTTAAACGTACCTTCTTTCGATTCTTCCAGGTTGTTTTCTGTTTCTCCTTCGTATATTTGATGTGTCAAAAGCTTGCTTTACAGTTGGGTGCCATGCTATTCAGGATTGTAACAGATTCATTTCCGTAGCCTTATGATCTTTAATTTTGTGAATTAGGTTTAGATGTCATTTTTTTTTATTAGAATTGATTGATATGAACAGAAGGCAAAAGCAAGATAAGAATCATGGCATATGCTGCAATGAAGCCAACAAAACCTGGTTTGGAGGAGTCCCAGGAGCAGATTCACAAGATCAGAATCACGCTCTCGTCCAAGAATGTCAAAAACCTTGAAAAAGGTATAACGTTTTTGTAAGCAGATGCAATTACAGTAATTTATTTTATATCCCTTTAATTTTTTCACTATCAATTTTTAGTGTATTTTCATATAGGGATGAATACTTTTCTTTGGAGGTCTGAATACTGATATGGATCCAGTTAATAAACTAAGTGTTGGCTAATCATATGTCTGTCTATTTTGTTGATAGTTTGTGCTGATTTGATCCGTGGAGCCAAGGATAAGAGACTGAGGGTGAAGGGACCTGTGAGAATGCCTACCAAGGTTCTTCATATTACCACTAGGAAGTCTCCTTGTGGTGAAGGTATTTTTTTTTTACCTTGAGTCTGACTGACTATTATTATTATATTTTGCTTGCATTGCCCAATTGCTTATATTTAGGCTGTTTAATTCTACCTTAAAAGCAGTTATAGAAACCTATTTCTGAAGAATACTTTAACTTAAAATGAATTTAGAAATGATATTTTGTTATGATTGATTGCCATCTTTCTGTTTTCCTCGGTAATCAGAACACCCGCAGGGCTAAACATAAGGAGTGTTGTGTATTTTTGCCATGTCCAATGTCTTTTATGTTATTTTACCATAATTGCATGCGGTTAATAATTTTAAATATCCTATTTTTTTGTTTAAAAAAATGGATTTGGTAGCCATTTTCATGATCAGATGTGTAGAACTTATCTGTGTTGATGAAGTTTTCAGTGCTTGAGCTACATCTTACACTTATGATTTACATGTTTTATCTTGAAAAATGGAGTTTACAGTTTTTTTTTTTGGGATTTTTCTAGGATTTGATGTTATAAGATCAATTAGCTGACATTGTTGGTTAGGGTTGGGGTTTTGATGCAACATGAGTAATCTTCTTGGAGAACTTATGAAACTATTGGTGACCTTTTGTAGGGACAAACACATGGGATCGATTTGAACTCCGTGTTCATAAGCGAGTTATTGACCTATTCAGTTCACCTGACGTGGTGAAGCAGATTACATCTATTACAATTGAACCTGGTGTTGAGGTGGAGGTCACCATCGCAGATTCTTAATTATCTGCATTTAGGCCTTTATTTAATAGTATCATTACTTAATCCGATGATGAGGCTCTGTTTGGTCAGAATGAGGTGGAGGATGTCTCTAGTTTGTATTTTTTTCCCATGCTAGTGTTGAAGTGAAGCTTTTGATGCCCCAGGTTTTGTTTTCCTTTTGTTGCCCAATGTCAATGTGTGGATGTTCCTTTTGTTAATGGGTATTTAAGAAGAAAGCTAAAAGGAATGCTGTTCCATAACTTTTGAGTGGGTGTTTTCATTTATGCTTAATACAAAAAAAAAAACTCAAATTATAATTTTTTTCTCATTTAGTGGCTTAATTTTTTTCAGTCAATATGAGTTTAATATTATAAACGTTATTATTTTAAGTGCTTACATTGTAATATTGGTAGAAAAAAATATCTTCAACCACTCAAAATGTGACATGTGGTGTGTTTATATTTTTTTTTAAATATTAAAAAAATTTAAAATTATTATTATTTTTCAAAAAAATATCTTAAATATTTTTAAAATTTTAAAGAAGTTTCAAAATATTTAATCATAGGGCATCAATCCCACTCATTGTCTCTTGTCATCATTGTCAGTCTTTTATCAATCAGTTGTCGATAGTTTATACACCCTCTGTTGATCCTCTACCTGTTTGTCGTTGGCTCACTTGTAGCACTAAATTCAAAATAGATTTTTAACCATCGTTACAATGTAGACATTTAAAATGATAATATTTGTAACGTTAGCTACTTATATCGGATAAAAAAATTACACCTAAATGAAAAAATAAGTATAGCTTGGGGCTTTTTTTATATTAAGCCTTTTATTTAAATGCATTATCTAAAAGGCATAATGTAAAAATTAATCTCCAATGTTTATTAAAATGGTGATTTTGCCCATATTATATTTTTGGAGCATTTTGGCTCATAACATTTCATTTTAGGGTAAAATGGACCATAATATTTGACAAAATAATCACTGTCTCTTATTCTTTTTTTGGGATATTTTAGCCCTCAACGTTTGATTTTTAGTTAAAAAAAGCTCACATTTTGAAGTGTTAATCATGTGTTAACTAATATTTTTCATCTATAGAGGTAGTTTTTTTGCTCCAAAGTGAAACGTTAGGGGCCAAAATGTTTTAAAAAAAAAGAAAACGGTTCAAAATGATCATTTTAGTAAATGTTGGGTTTTTTTAGAATTATGCCTATTTGAAATCCAATATCATGAAGGTATAATGTCAAATTAGCCTTCAACGTTTATAGAAATTGTCATTTTAGCTCATATTCTTTTTTTAACCTTTTGGCCCACCAACATTTCATTTTAGGGCAAAAGACATCTAACATTTGATAAAATAGTTACTTTAACCCGTATTTTTTTCTGGAGTATTTTAGCCTTTAACGTTTCATTTTATGGTAAAAAAACTCATATTTTAGAACATTAATCATATGTTAACTAACACTTTCCATTATAAAGGGGGTTTTTGTTTTAAAATAAAATGTTAGGAGGTCAAAATGCTCCAAAAAAAGTGCCAAAATGACTATTTTGATAAACATTGAAGGGTTAATTTTGACATTATGCCTATGATGAAAACAAGTTGTTTTGTATTTTATCCTTTATTAATCTTATTATATTATATTCAATCTTTTTTAATTTGTGGTATAATGTTTTTAATTATTATTAAATTAAATTTTGAATTGCATTATATTCAAATATATGTGTCGTAGTTGTCTTTCGGGTGGGCCCGGAATTGGGCTTCGACTTAAATAAAATGCTAGAGTCGCCACCGATAATTTATTTTAAGAACAAATAGGTTGATCGAATACCTTGATTTCTTATATGATCTGCATCTTACTAGAGATATGTCAGATTCGGGAGTTGGTTACAGTCAAGAAAGGGTTAGCACCCTTGATCTGCCATTTCGGTACTAATTAATTTCCAGTTGTCTTAATTGAGAAAATTGTAAGTTAAATTAAAAAGTAAAGTTTGATCCAAAATATTTACCTCTGATCGATTTAAAAAAAACATGGCCTTAGAAAGTCAAAAAAAGTTAGATTGGTAAAAAAAACATGTTGAATCCAAAAAGAAAGAATAAATGTTAAATTGTAATGTTTTAAGTAAAAAATACACGTGCTGAGGAATTAACATAAACAAAATCAAAGTGATCATATTAAAACATACAACAGATAAAAATAATATATGTAGAAAAAATCTATTAAATTAAAGTAAAAATAAATATAAAATACTAATTGCAAGATTAAACATAAAAATTACTATAATAAAGAAAAGAAGTAAAATAAGAATGTAAAACCCTAAAAATAACTAAATAAAAAATAATCTCCAAAAAAAAGAAAAACAAAAAAAATAAACAAAACAAAAATAAAAATAAGGGAAAAAAGTAATAGAATTAAATAAAAAACAGAAATAAAAAAACACAAAAAAGGAAATAGAAAATAATAAATAAATACATAAATAAAAATAATATATATATATATATAATAAAATGTAGTATTAAATAAATAAAATAAAAAGAAAAATAAATAAAAAAACATGAATTGAATTTAAAAAAGGATTAAATTAAAAGAAAAACAAATTGGGTGATCAATTTAAAAGCAAAACGGGATGAAAAGTGATTTTAAAGGGCAAAATGAACTTATAAAAAATACGAGGGACTGAATCTGTAATTATACCATTTTCTCGACAAAACACGCGGATCCCCTAGGGGATTTGGTCGGGTTTTCAGGTCAGTCGGGTTGGGTATAAAAGTCAACAACCCATTAACACATTTCATTTTCTTCTCTTCAAAAAAATATGATCAAACAGCCCCCTCAAATTGTCTCGATTGTTCTTTGTGTTCTTCATCTGATGAAGAACGCCACCGTGAAACCCAGAAACCGACCGACCACCGCCTCCAATGCCAAATTTTTTTTATACCATTCGAAAGATCTTTCCTTCCTCTTTTCAAAAACGAGATTTGTTTTCAAAAAATGGCCTGGGGAAGGATAAATCTGAGAAGAAACTTCTCGAACCCTCCCCTATGTTCATCGACCTTTCGAAAAAAAGAAAAAGAAAAATAAATCCCTAAGCCCTATACAAGAAAAAAAGACGAGCAAGGTAAGAAAAATACGTTCTTTATTTCCTTTTTCCTTTTGAAAGTTACAAAGATTTCCTTGCTTTTTCTTTCGTATTTTCTTGTGTATTTCACATGATTTCTTTTATCTTTTGATTGTGATTTACATGCATATTTATAGTCTTAGAAAGCTATTTTTAGTTCGGTTTTTTCTAGAGTTTTACTCGAACTAAAATCCTTGCTTGTTGTTTGTTGGTGAGTCCTATGAATCCACGACGCCGTTGTGTTTGTTGTGCCGAGAAAAAGGGTCATTGGTTGCGGCTGGGACAAGGAGTCTTCGAAAGAGGGAGATGCGACGCTTGAGGAAAGAAGGTTAGGGTGGAAAACCCTAATTTGCTTCGGGTGAAAGATTTGGTCGGTTCGAGTTTGAACTGGGTCTCGGGTCGGGCTCCATATTGGATCTGGGTATGTGCTTGTACTTGGGCTGTTGGGTTTATTTGTACTTGGGCTTTGGGCCTGATTCTGTAAATGAATAAAAAAATAAATTAATATGTGTAAATAATATAATATATGCTATATAATTATAGTATATTAACTATATTAACATATAAACGTTATGCAATAAAGTCAGACGAAAATGTGTGTCGACAATACGCATATGAAAACTGTTAGTTAACACATTATCAACACTCTAAAATAGGTTTTTTATTCTAAAATTAAATGTTAAGGGTTGAAATACTCTAAAAAAATAAAAGTCGAAGTGATTATTTTGTAAAATATTATGAGCCTTTTTCCCTAAAATAAAATATTGGGGCAAAATGCTTAAAAAAATAGGAGGCAACTCATAATTTGATAAAAATTTAATATAAATTTTAAACTTAATGCCTTTTTAAATTTACAAGGAATTTTGAAAAGAGATTTTAATAACTTAAATCTTTATTCATATCTCACACGGTGATTTGCTAAAAGGTAAATTACAGAAATTATTACTTATGTTTAAGTTTCTTTATCTTTTAAAATTAATAATTTAATTATTAATATTTTCAATTTATAATAAATTAATTATTTAATATTAACAATTATTATTGTCGTAAAAGGCTTGAATCTTTTGATGAAATGGCTTTCGAAGTGACTGAATTTTACTCAAGCCTTTTAGGTACAGAGGACTCCGGGGTTAAAAATTGTGTGCCTAATCTTTTGAAGGATCTGATGCAATTTAATTTGCCATCTGATGTTTCTTCTAACCTTGTAAAGGAAGCCACCAATGAAGAGATCAAAGAAGTAATTTTCAACTAAGGAAATGACAAAGCACCTAGTCCTGATGGATTCACACCATATTTTTTTTCAAAAAACCCTGGTCAATGGTTGGCAAAGATGTTGTAAATGCTATTAAATACTTATTTCAAGAAACTTTCATCCTTCCAGCTTCCAATGCTACAACCATTGCTTTGATTCCAAAAGTTCCTAACCCCAATAAGGTTAGAGACTTCCGGCTAATTTCCTGTTGCTCTGTTATTTACAAGACAATTACAAAGATTTTAGTCAAAAGGTTGACTACACTACTCCCAAGGATAATATCTCTCAACCAATCAGCTTTTGTAAAAGGAAGAAATATTGTTGACAACACTCTACTTGCTCAAGAACTGGTGAGAGGTTATAGAAGGAAAGTTATCTCTTCTAGATGTGCCTTGAAAGTTGACTTACAAAAGGCTTTTGACACTCTACACTGGGATTTCTGTCGAAACGATTTTTTTTCTTAAAAGTGAAAAATGTGAGATTTTGAAAACCACATTAATTCTTAATTATCCTCTTTTTAATTTAAAAACAAATGCGATTTAGAAGACCTCTCGTTTCGAAAAATTTGGGATTCCGTTTACAATAGAAAAATATGGTTCGAAGAGTCGTCACCAATCTTGAACCCCTCTTTTATTTCTTTTTTTTTCATCATTTTTTCCTTTTTTTTCATTTTCATTTTTTTCTTGCATTTTCCCTTTTTTTCTTTTCTTTTTTCATCATTTTTCATTTTTTTCATTTTTTCTTTTCTTCTTTTCTTCTTTTTTCCTTTTCCTTTTTTTATTTTTTTTATTTTTATTTTTATTTTTATTTTTATTTTTTATTTTTTATTTTTATTTTTTATTTTTTCTTCAAGCGAAATATCTCTTAACAGTGTTAGAATTCACTAGATATGGTAATTCCGATCCGTCCATTTCAGTTAAGACTAGAGCTCCCCCAGAAAAGGCTTTT